TACTGATGTACAAATATTAAAGTTTTATTGTATACAAAGAAAAAAAAAAAAGTTCAGGGAGGAAGGGTGGGATGAACATACAATCACGCTGGAAAGAAGGACTTGCTTGGATTTAATCTTGTGGAAATTGTGTGCATGCTGTCTTGTGTCTTCATTTCCAAAGGCCTTTCCTTTTTTCATTTCTGTCCAGTGCTTTAAACACATGTATATGCTGCATTTGGTGGGATTAAAACATAATAAACCATTCAATATGGGAAGTTTGTTTGGTGTCTCATTAATTTTTTTTTTAAAGAAAAACCATTGACCCAAAGCAGCTGTCGGATATCAGCTTCAGTCAGCTCAAGGTTTTTCTGATTGTATGGGTCATCACACTTGAAGTTTCTTATTGAATAAGCCAGTTAATGTGCACTAACTTTATTATACTTCCACTATTTTACCAGACAGTTTTCTATTCAGAGCTAATGTCCATCTTCCAGAGTAGAAGAAATGGCATACAACATCTGAAAATGCACCACTCGGGCCCAGAGAAATAGTTACTTAGGATGTGGCCTTCTGTTCAGGGTCCACTTTGAGCTTTAAGCAGATCTTGTGCCCCAAAATTCATATTTGGTGCTACAGACCCATTCATCAATGCTGTACAAAACAACGAAAAAAAAATCTTTCCCCACCTTCCTCATCTCAGCTCATCTACAGCCTGTACTTCCCAGCGGACTTCTGGGGAGGCTATGTGACTAGTGTCTTCCAGGCTGCTCCTGGTCTTCAGATATGAGAAGGCGTAAGATCTCAGTAATGCCTTCGTAGAGGTGTTTCTACACACAAAACGTGTACAAGAGGAAGATAAGTAGCTACAAAGTAATTCAAGTGTATGTATAGCCAAAAAATGTTTTCAAGTTTTGGTAGGGAAGGATGACGACTGGGGATCCACCGATACTGGTATCGGTGCTGATACCCAGTATTTGGGCGAGTACTCGTACTTGCCCAAATGCTCCGATACCTTTCCCGATACTGGAAATTCCGGTCAGAGGGAGATTTCCTCTGACCGGCAGTGCCGTGAGGGAACATGGAGTCGGGAAGCTGGCTCCATGCTGTTTGGCCTGCAAATCAGTGTTGAGCCGGGCAAACAAATCTGATAATATGGTGACACGACCCCCCACCCTGCAGACAAATCATTCTTCTCACATAGGTCCTTGGCAGTCTTTACCGTACCAGTCCCTCGGCCAGCTGGGCAGACACTGCTCTCCCGGATCTGCCCATGCCTCCTTGTATACAGCGCCCACGTGATCGGCCCTCATAGGCAGATCGTACTTGCGAAGATCGCAAGCCACGCCCCCTGCTGGGCGGGCTTCCGATGACCGCAATGCCGAACAGCCAGTGTGCGCTTGCGCACACCGGCCCGTCCGGCTTTTATCTTACGAACATGCTACACACCCGCCGAACATCGTAGGATGCTCGGCGGGTTTTCAAACATGTTCGTAAGTTTAAAGTCGTGCGACCTTACAGTAGTAGAGGTTGCACGACTTCCACACACCTTACGATAATCGTACGATCGCGGGATTTCCCGCGATTATTGTACGATTATCGTAAGGTGTGTGGGCACCCTTACACTGCTTGCACATAAGGGGACAAAACCTGAGGATGGGCTTCATTCACACTATGTGCGATTAGATGCATGTGTAGGGAACTGTTCTTTTATACACCTTCTGTGGTTTTGTTTACATTAATGTTATCCACTACCATAGAGTTCTGTTACAAACAGATTCTTCCTTTTCATAGGATATGCTTCCTGCCCCTGCTAAAAAGGTTAAGAAACCCCACAGTAAGAGATATGGTCTTTTCGTGAGGTAATATTCAGTGTGTGTGCCCTCATGCCATATGTTGTGGAACTGAAAAATACTGCATGCTGATTCTGTGCTGAGTTCCAAACCAAAAAGGAGATAGGCAAGTGTTCCTGCACTGTGTAGTTTCACTTTCTATTATGTTGTCATGACTCCTGTGTGAGAATCTTAAGATTCCTGTCAGCGGTATCTCTGATTCAGTATGATTGAGCTATTTGCATACTGCAAGATAATTGTGATTTCTCAGCTGTATAAGAGCTAAATTTACCTGACTAGGTCTTATCAGGTGAATCTTCTGTTGCAGTGAACACTTGCAGCTTTATTATTTAAAGGAATAGCACCATTTTTGGTTTGGAATTCCTTAGCTAGTGTAAGGTTAGGGAACAGTAAACATTATAGGGTAGAGGTAGGTTAGGCATCCGATGGCCGCTTAGACAGTTAGAGGCCCGGTTGTATTGATAGCCTAGAATTAGAACAGGGACCAAGAGATAGAATAGACAGGTCTGTTTTACTTTATAGGTGACGCATTCCAGATGGTCTCCTCAAGAAGTGCATTCATCTGCTGCTGCTCCAGCATTGCGTCTTCTCAAGCCGGATTGGACTCTGCCTAAAAATAATCTCACCAGGGGCCCCTGCAACTGGACATTGCTGCAATCCACATTTGGAGGTATCCAAATAAAGTGACTGCATATATATATACATATACCCGGATATAGGTGCACCATTCTTATAGGACATATGATCATTTTATTTGTCATCCCTGAATATTCGTGTTTGTATCGTATGTAACATTATCTGTTTGATCTATATAAAGCTTGCATTATAAATATATATATTGGTGTGACTACATATATTTCTGGTAGAAATCTATGCTGGGAGCAGTAGTACTTCTGCTTTGAGTTATCTTGTTTAAGTCACTAGTCAATTTCCTAGGAAGGGTACACCTCCTCATATGCAGGAGCCCTGTTCTAGGTCGAGGCACTGCCAAATTTATTGTCTAAACCCATTCTTCTATTTAGCGAAGGCTCTGGCTCACATAGTTACCTGCAGGTTAGCGCCATAGCCTGTTTGGAGAGGGCAGTTTCATTTACCCCCCCACCCCCCAAAACAGGGTTACACTTTCATATGCATTTAAAAAGCTTTTGTAAACATATATAACTATTTTGAGCTTCTAAACGCACCAAAACACATGTAAATGCACGTAAGCACATTTTTATGCTTTGGTGCCAGATGCATATAAACACAAGCGTGTAAACACACTGCATTTAAATCATCTAGAAGCATAAACACAGCATCTAGCCTGCAAATTTTCCTCTGCATATAGAAGACAAAAACACAAGTGGCAAGTGTGAATGAAGCCTGATTCTCTTCTGCAGGTTGGGAAGGACTAAGCAGGCAGAATGTCAGCAGGTATTTTACCTAAAGTCATCCAGCACATAGGTAATCAGCCTTATAGATTTCAGTGCTAGAACGGTATTGTACATAGAGGATTTCTGTAGTAAGCTCTGTATTTGTTTTTATTGCAGCAGGGTAAATGCAATAGTTTGTGGAATATCTACAAAGGAGGTCTGGATTTTGGCTGCACACATTCTTTTCTTCATATTTCCCCTTCTCATTGACTCGATGTATCTTTTCAGGGAAGGAGTGATTATTGCTCAGATGAACCTAAGGTTGCTGCCAGTGAGTAGCTTTTTTTTTTTTTTTATGAAAAGCAAGGGTGTTATCAGTGAAAGCCCAGCTGTTTTTTTTTTTTTATTCCACCTCCCCCACACAAAAAAAAATTATACATACCCTTTTTTTTTCCTTCTACCTGCTCTTGTGACATTATGGGTCCTTCCTGTTATCCTCTGGTGGCAATGGGAGATGCTGCTTATTGGACAGTGTAACACTCACGTAATGATGTGTGAGCACCCAACTCCAGCTCTGCTGGCACTATTCACTGCAGGATTCCCCTTGGTCGCCAGGCCATCATGATGAGACACCTCCAAGCAGCGGATCTTTGAAACCATAGGAAGTGGGTTCAATGAAGCTTGAGCTGATAAGTTGTGTAAACCACAGCCTTTGTTTTTGGAGATTTGTAGTAAAGAAACTTAGGGGAATGTGATCTAATGTAAAACAAATTCCTAATTAGGTTCACATATATTTAAAGGTATATCCAATGGCTCTCCGTGCGTTGGCACACAGGATGTGAAGCTAGAAGGTCAAACCTCACACAGGTAAAACAAATCAGTTTCCAAACAATAAACCAATTTAACTGATGCTCTAAACCTGCATTTGAAGTGGCATATCTGTAGAATGTACACAAAGGAAACGTGACATTTACAAAGAAAAAAAAAAAAGACTATTTATATTGTAGGCTGGTAAATACATTTCCCTGCAGCTTGTTTTTTTTTTTGCTGCAAAATGGGGACCCCCCCTGCCTGTCAGACTTGTGTAGCACAGAGCTGAGGAGGAGTTTTGGAGAGCTTCCCTCGGCTCTGACTTCTGACAGATGTAGGGCATGCTGGCAGGAGCCACTAGAAGCCACCAACCACCAGAGCATGGTTAACATTTTCAGGGGGAAAAAAATGTGGGGTCATGGTGCCAGACCTGGGGCACTCACCCATGGAGCGATGCCCCTGGTTTTACATAGGAGCAAGGTGGTAATGGGGCCCAGAACTTCTTTCCATCCTAAGACGGTTTCAGCGTTTCACCTCAACCAGGACATCACTCTTCTGCCCCTCTCTGGCCCCACTTCATCAGAAGGGGATCTCCCTCCATTGCCTAGATGTAGTTCAGGCTCTGCAAGTTTACCTCACAGCCACCACTTCCATTAGTAAAGCTGGCCATACACTTTACAATTATCTGCAGATTTTCTGTGGTCAGATGGAAAAGGTGCAACAGATTCCTCATCTACACTTAACTGTGTGAATGGAGTAATCTCCACCTGGGCCAATCTGTTGCACTTCTTCCATCTGACCACAGAAAATCTGCAGATAATTGTAAGGTGTGTGAGCACCTTTAGACTGACTATCAATGTCATTACCGATGGTTCCCATAAGGGAGAATCAGCTTCTCGTTCCACAGTTTCTAGGTAGCTGAGACACAATCATTCAAGCTTATGGTCTTAAGGATTGGGTTCCTCCCTTTTGTTTCCGTAAACTACTAGGTCTGTTATCGCATTTTGGCATTAGCCAACAGTTTGCTAGGTATGCAAGGCTGCCACTTGGTCTTCTGTTCACATGCTCTCTAAGCTTTACCAGGTGGATGGCCAGGCCTCATCTGATGCCACCTTCAGGCATAAGGTCCTTCAAATGGCTCTTTGAGTTGCAGTTAGTCCCTAGTTCTGTTGTTTTTTGTGTGCCTGTTAGTGTTTTGTTGCTGTTGTCCACCCCTCACTTGGACCGCTTTTCAATGTCCCTATAGTCTATGAATTCATGTATCCCTCAATGAAAGAGAAAGAAAATTGGATTTTTTGTATTTACCGTAAAATTCATTTCTTGGAGTAATTTAAGGGACACCCCTCTGTGTTTAGGATCATACTCTTGGTACTGCTGTACAACAAAACTGTGGAATGCTGGGAGTAGAAATGGTTATACTGGACTGGCCTACAATTTTTTTTTTTGCTTGCCAGTGTCCCATCCTCCTGTTGCCAGCAGTATAACGCGACAGTGTCTGAGTTCCTGTGTCCCTCAATGGAGTCCCGGAAATAGTTTTTACGGTAAGTACAAAAACAATCACATTTTTACTGCTTGTTCAGAATATGTAAATACTTTAGTGTGCATTATCTGAGCACAGGTTCACTTCAATTAAGTATCATACAAATAAGAAACAATGGGCAGATTATGGTATTCCATACAAAAACTGTTTAAAATGTTACTTGGTGGTGGTCTGAAATGATATTTGCATTGTGAATGAATACAGTCAAGTCTGTGAAATAGTATGGGAATGTACAGCTGTTGTCCTCCTGCTAACTGGTCTGCTGGACCAATCAGCAGGTGCCTGGTCTGCTACAACTTTCACCCTCCTCCATGTCCTTCTGCCAGTCCATTGTGACTCTTCCCATTACTGAGCCTCTCCTCTCACCTCAATATGTTTCTTACCAGGTTAATATTGCTTCTTTCTGGCTTGTCTTGCTATGTCCTCACAGAGGAAGTTCCTGCACACCGAACATTTGAATATAAATACAGCTTCAAAGGTCCTCATATCACCCTACCTGATGGAACTTTGCCTTTCTGGGAAAAACTTGGAGGTAATTTCCTTCTACAATGGTTAAGGGTCAGAAATGCTCCTCTTTTCTAATCTGGTAGAAAGCTGCTTCTTAATCATTTTATGTTTCAGATGGATAACATTTGTGTTATTTTTGATTTATGTATTTATTTGTTATGCATACAAAGACAACACAACTTTAAAGGACTGTCTAAAACGTACTCTATCATCTCAAGAGTACAATTAGTTTAATTGGTATGCTAGAATCCACATCACTTCTCTCAAACATATGTCATTATTTTCATTTGTGCCAATTCTTTTGAACACATTTCATAGTGTGATTGTTGTGCACATTGTCGGTATGCTTTTTTAAAATTATTATTTCCCTCTCTTGAATATCAGTTTGTCCATATGTGATTGACTTACATGTTTGTTATACAATATTGAGTGGCTCTGCAGTCATGCATGGCAAAAAAAATATTCCTTCACTTGCCCTTTGCTTCTGATTGGTTGCTATTGATTACTGCACTCGATCATTTTTAGCAAAAAGCTATTAACCAATCAAAGATCTTCAGTGTTCTAGAACAGTGCGGTCATTTAAACTTACATCAAGTAAATATGGGGACTGCCATTGTTGAGTAAAAATGCTGGTTGCTTGGTTGTCATGCTAAACCCCTGACTTCCATGCTTTCTGAGTGACTGACGCAAAGCAAATATCCAGCAGCTGAAGAACAGTTTGTCTGCATCTTATTTGTAGGTCACTGACTCTGGGTTAGCAAAGTATTGAAGCCAAAGGATCAGCATGGCGGCCTGGCGAATTTAATTTTTAGAAATACAATTTAGCACTGGTACAGGTTTCCTACGCTTAGAGAAACCAAGAGGGTTAGCAAACCATCTGAAAATGCTAGTTTCAATAATGCCAGTTCCCTGACTTCAGTACATTCGGAGACATTGATCTGAAGCAAGCATGTAACAAATGATGTTGTTACCGACTAATGAGTATGTAATTGTTGGATGATACACTTTGGACATTAGAGTGCATTTGATTCCCTCACTATATAATTATATCTACTGACACCATCTCTAATTAGACATTAACCAGTTGACTTTTAATTTAATTTAGAACACCCTCAGACCTGAGGAAGCGTGGCGAAACGCGTTGTCGCTACTCCACCAGTCCCAATCTCCTGAATTCAAAAAACTGCGAGATTATACCTCTCTTTGAGACTTTGTATACAATATAATATGCAGCAACGCACTAGTGACTGTTAATGGTTGACATGGCCAGTTGACTCGACAAAGAGACTATAAACCATTGTTAGGATAGCAACCTTGAACCAACTGTGTCTAACAATCACCTTTTTCCAAGGGCCATACCAAATACAATTAGAGGTAATGGATGGTCGCATACACCCAATAATATCCTTTGTTCCATCTTGATTCGATGTCAAATACTATGATTAAACTTCTTGGCTGTCTAGTCAACTAGGATATGCCAACCAGAATGTAGGGGGTGCGACCTACAATTAAAAATCTGTTTGCATGAATTTAATAATATATTTATGTGACTACAATTAGTCATAATTCAGGATTCTGGTGGAGCTTGTTGGTGTTCCCCTTGAATCGGCTTTCTCTCTTTTTTATAAATATGAGCTCGTCTTTTTAATCATGTATTGAATAAAAGTTCTAATTTTTATATTACACTATTGTCTCGAGTGCCTAAAAAACCCCAATCTCAAATACCCTCTTTTTTCCAACATAAAACCAGGGGTGTGGCACTCTCCTTTTAAACACCGTTTCTACCCATTCCCCCTCTTCCCCATTTAAGTAATAATGTAACAAATGAAGTCAGAACACCTGATCTGCATGCATCCTGAAAGAATGGAAGCCATCAGATCAACATGACAGCCAGGCATCTAGCGCTTTCAGAAGAAGTCAGCAAATCAGCATAGGCTTCCTTTCAAGTTTTTTATTTTTTTAAAACACACATTACCCTTGAAAGTCAGATACAGTTTGCACCTTTATTTTCATCCTTTGTTGCATCTCAGTGCTGCCTATTCCCTGCAGCCTCTCACTAGCTACATACATACACTCTAGACATGATTGAAGGGCAATTTTATATTTACATCTGCTGGACCACTACATTTTTGCCCACAGATGGAGTTGAAAACTCCAGGAATTAACAAAGTTAACCCATGCAGTGGGCCTACCCCAGCAGTACCAGGGTTAACCTTGTTTTTCCTCTAGGGGCTAGAATACAGACGATATTTTCACCTCATCCCCTGTCCTGCAGAGATGAGCATTCTGCTCCGGTTGCGGAATGTCTAGATATTGATGTCCTCATGGCTAATGCGTGTATAGGGACCTGCATTAGATAGGATGATGAACGCCGAAGCAAAGGGGGTGAAAAGGCTATGGGAACTGGTCTAACAGCCAGGCGGAACCGAGCATCAGGCACGTATATCATCTTTAATATAGGCCCTAGACCAAAATAAGCAGTTAACCCTTGCAGTGCGGGTTAACTCTTCCAGTGAATGTTATAAAACAAAGAACAGTCAGAGACTGAACATACTACAGTAGATGTTCAGAGACCTTTGGAATGCTACAGAAGGTGTCCAAAGACTGCAGTCATGCATGGTACAGGACTTGGCACATGCTGCAGAAGACTGTCAGAGACTAGGAACCCAATACTGGAACTGCTGTAGCTCACTGTGATTAATGTCACTGTACAATTCAGTGTACCCTACAATCCCACTAAAATATTATTGACACCACATCTGATATTCCTTTAAGCATCATCCATTATAAAATGTCAGTGAAAAATATACACAAAATAGAAAAAAGAATGGACAACACAGAAGAAATAAGGACTTGTGAAAGGAATCACCCAACATCAATTAGCTAGAAAAACCCAGTTTAAGGAATATTTCCCTTCAATGTGCTTGAGTAAGCACCTAGGCAAGTCAAACTTGGGACTGGGCTGCTGGGCCCCTAGGGCTGACTAGTACATAACAAAAGAGCCATATGTGGCTCTCGAGCTGAAGGTTTTGTACCAGGAAATAAGAGCAAACATTTATAAACGGATATTGGGTAGATCAAGAGCCTCGGTGTTTCCTTTGACTTGATCTTGTAACTTTGAAAAGCTTGAGATACCGGAACGTATTTAATATCTATATTTTAAAGATTATAGTTCCCTTTTAGATTCACATTCCTGTGTAGCACTGTTTGTGTTTGGGTAACCACATATTCTCATTGTTACAGATGCAATTGCTGGTCCAGATGAAATTCGCCTTGTTCCATCGATAAAAAACCACAAGGGATCAGTATGGACCAGAAGCACTTCCAATTTTACCAACTGGGAAATGGAGGTATCTATTAGGATCTCAGGACACGGGCCTAATGGAGCGGAAGGAATGGTGAGATCAAGGAGTTGAAATATTATTAATAATAATACTTGCCCACTGCAGGCAACCAGAATTGTTTTCATTATTTACCTGCACTAGAACATCACAAATAGATTCTGGGGGGTCAGTTCTAGCCTCTTTGCTGCATGAGAGAATTTTGTAAATGCCATCCACCACATGAGACGTTAGACTATTACAAAAGAAAAAAAAAAACAAAAGGATGGTGGTATTATAGAACCACTTCTATAAAAAAAAAATATTAAGGGGCTTTGTATTAATAATATTAGGTACACCACCAGACATAAAAAATGTGGTCACTTTGACCATCGTTTCCACACTGCCTTAAAAGCACTGGGTGGTACAGCAGTTACAGCAGAACACTGCTGACTTCCTTTTCCTTCCTGAGTTCCTTTTACTGCATTGGCCTGGAGTGGGTTAGACGATGTCAAAAGTGTGTTTAACTTTCAGCAAGGTCTTAGACCCGTGTTTGCTCATGCCAGCAGAAACATGCATATATGATATGCTGGCTGGATCATCCACATCTGAGCACCAGTTTAGGGCTTGTTTACACCAAGCGCGTTCCAGGAGTAGAGCAGTTACAGACCGGATCAAAACTGCGTCCAAACTGCAGCACGCTCTATTTTTCCTGCTCTGGAACACATGCAAACGCACTGAAAGCCCATTTTAAACTAAAAACGGCCCTGAACACGGCAAAAAACTCATGCAGATCTGGTCTGCATTTGGTGTGAACAAGCCCTTAGTGTAGATAATTGGTTTCCAGTGTGAAGGGAGGACATTGTTTTATACTGCCGCTTCATTTCCACTACTGACTGCCAATACTATGGTCAATTCTAGGCTCTGTGGTATACTAGGAAACCAGGAGACTTGGGTCCAGTGTATGGCTCTTCTGATCACTGGGATGGATTGGGGATTATTTTTGACACATTTGATCATGATTTCAAGGTAAGAACAATAGTTTAAATTACAATTTTAATGAAAGTATATAACAAGGTATTTGAGCATTCTGCTATGTCATACCACATATGACGTGTGTGATAATGAATTACTTTTTACGATGCTGGGTCTTAGTTAGGCACTAAGCACATAGACATTTGTTGAACTTGCTAAAGTCTACTTGTTTAAAGCTACAGCCAGTTGAACTTGCTACAGCCCGTACTCCCATTTATGCTGCCTATAGATGGCAAGAGCACTGAAGGGCACTCTATTAACTTACAAACTTAGCTCATCCACACTTATAAATGACTTTTAGAAGTACTTTCCACTAATTAGCCACAATATAAAGGGACAGAATAACAGAAGGCCCTGACTGGCTATAAGTGGCTATAGTATAGAAATTGTTTATTAGAACACTCATTAAACTACTAAAGGAAACATATTGAGGGAAGTCCCCACAGAACCAGTGCTGTACGCATTCTGATAATACTAGCAGCCTTGCAGTCTCTGGATTCAATACTTTCTGAGACACCTATCCAATGAATCAGAGGCTCAAAAAGTATTTGTCATGGGGCCAACACAACAGCCAGGCAACTAGTATTTTCAGAAGTAGTTGAGCAGTGGTAGCCTTTGTATTTCCCTTTATGTTCTGGATACCCATCCAATAGTACTTTGTTATGGGTCTCATTACTGGGACCTGGGCAATACTATGTGTAGGACTTTTCCATTTGGCTGCAATGCTGCTCAGTCTTTCTGAATGGATCAGGGGAAATTAAGGGTTCAGTCCACAAAAAAGTGAACCATACACTTGCTTCTTATATCTTTCAGGGAATCCAGTAGCATGATCTCTGTATTGTACTTCCTTGCCAGCTGCAGTCATCACAACAGGCCCTCCTGCTCCCTGCTGCCATCTGTATTGATTTGGTATTACAGAGAACACTACAGAATGAGTGACACTCTTGCTGCAGTAGGAGCCGTCAGATTTCATGTTGGGGTAGAAGCTGTTACAGGGCAATAAACTCGATTGTCCATATTGTGCTGCTGTCAATCAACCGGATAAAAACAGCCTAGTAGTGTCATTCACCTGTAACTGTGCAACTAGTTTTACGTATACTGACTTTATTTGCTTTATTTTACACTTAATTTAACCCCTTTCCGTACGTATATATGTGACAGCACTGGGTGTACCTTATTCTGTGCTGCCTCATATACTGTATGTGTTTGTGTCGGGAGGGGACTCAATGTTAGATTGTAAGCTTTCACAGGTAGGGCCCTCCTTACCATCTTGTCTTGTTTTGTAATGTCTTCCTTATATTGTAAAGCGCTGTGCAAACTGCTGGCGCTATAGAAATCCTGTATACTATTAATTGCCCACCCAACACTGTGACTACACTGTCACCAACAAATCCTGCTCAGAATGACAATCGGAAGCTCTATGGACAGGCTCCCAATGACCTGATCAGTGTGACAGTCAACTTGGATAGATTGCCCTCTCTGAAGGTAAAATGCACACTATTATTTCTGGGCTATACTACGAGCACAAATAACAAATATCGCACACATTTGTGGTATCCCCATGCGTTCTAGAAATAGGAGAGTTTATTTTGGGTTGTTTTTCAGTGGTGGGTCATACCGTGTTTCCCCGAAAATAAGACACTGTCTTATATTTTTTTTGGCTCAAAAAAAACACACTAGGTCTTATTTTCGGGGTAGGTCTTATTTATTTTTTTAATGTATAACAATCCAAAGTTAATGCAAATCCAAATTAAATAATCCAAAATGGCAAAGTTAATAATAGGGTGATCAGGGCAATCAGGGGTGCCGTACCTTTCCAAGAGCAATTTGGTAACCAGAAAAAGCGAAGCACACTTTCAATATCGATTCCTCAAAGGCGGAGTGCATTTGGTATTACTCCGCCTGTGACAGGAGTCGGCTCTATAGAGGAAGCATCAGCTTATGCGGCTCTGCTAACTCCGGTGCTGCTTCGCTTCCTCTAGTGCTGGCTTCATTGCCACCGCTGATTCTCTCCCGCGGCTCTTCAGGTTCCCGCTTATGCCACCACCAGCCCTGGCAATGGTAACAACTAGGTCTTATTTTCGGGGTAGGTCTTATATTTTAGCAATTCCAAAAAATAGTACTAGGTCTTATTTTTGAGGTAGGTCTTATTTTCAGGGAAACAGGGTAGTAATAGTAAGAGATATACAGATAAAATGTAAAAACATTTTGTTACAATTTTGGGTCAGGTTTCATTTCACAGTAAAACAAGCGTAAAAGATATCCATTAACCCCTTAATCACCTATGATGCGACTATTCCGTCATGAGTCCTTAAGGGTTTTTAAATAGACTCGGCTGCCGCCAGATCGCTCCTGCGGGCCGGTAAAGTGCCCCCCCCCCGCCCCCGCCTTATTTCCCAGGCTCCACTGCCCCTCCTGCAGGCCTGGAACTGGCATGTCTGTTGCCAGTTGGAAGCTGGGGAGGAGATTGGTGAACTTACGTTCGCTGATCTCCTCCCCGTTCTGTGGGACCGGGAGCGATGTGCATTGCATCACGTCCGGTACCTGAGCTCTCATTGTTCGGCTCCCCAAACTGAACAATAAGCTATTGAAGTGTGAACTGCACTTCAATAGCTTATTTAGAGTGGAAAGATGACACTAGGTTTTTTTTGGACCCCCAGTATCACCTTAAAGAGTACCTGTCACTGCCGATATGCTATCACATGGGATGCCTTTTTGGATTTGATAATAAGTTGCGCTAATATTGTGCAACATATATTGGCTTTCAGAAAATATATAATGTTTGGGGATTTGAAGTAATTTTCAGGCCTAAAATGTGGATTATAACCTGTGCAAAAAACAAAAAAGCCTTGGTCCTTAAGGGGTTAACATTACCATCGAATGAAGGCCCAATTTGTCCTGAACAAAAGAAAGTATAATTTATCTGGATACACTGAGTAGTTGCAAGGATATGTACAGTTTTACAAACACTTGCTAATGTTGCAAAACTGCGTTTGAGTGTAAAGGTTTGTTTTTTACCTTCGTTATTAAGGGGTTAAAACAACGAACTTTGTTTTCTTTGCCTCATTTGTGTTTTCATACATTTCTTTTCCTTTTATTTCACAATTGTTAACCAAATCTGCAGTTTAATGCTTTCTTTCTCCCAGGGAAATAACCCAGCAATAGTGATTGTGGGGAACAATGGCAAACTTCAGTATGATCATTTACGGTATGTAGTGTTGATAAAATGATTATATGATTTATTATCTCTTTCTGTGTTCAAATCTTAGAATGTCATCTTTTTACTGTGATCAGCATTTGATCTGACAGCAGAGAGGAAGCACCAATAGGTCTAAGGTGATTTTTAGTAGCTCAGTCATACTATTAAAGTTGCACTCCGGGCCTAAATATACAGATGTCTAACAGGGGATGGGACCTGATCTTTCTCTACTGTAGTTTCACTTTGACTTAGGACTCATTCACACTGTGCGTTTTAGGATTCCTCTGGCGGGAACCTGTGAATTCCTGCCGCAGGTGTCCCAAATCTATCATGGGTCCAGCGGCAGTCATTTATTCCAAACACATATAATCATATAACATACAATTACATGTGGACTGCCGCTGACAGATGCAGCTGCTGTTACTCGGTTATTAACTGCATCTGAATGGGGACACCTGGTATTACTGCCGCAGGAATCTGTAGGTTCTTGCTGCAAGAATGCCAGATTGCCCCGGGTAAAGGAGGCCTTAGCCTCTATTTGGAGTTGCCATGGCGCTACACACGTGATCAACTATGACACCAGCCATTTGAGGGCTTAAAAGTTTGGTTGAGAGGTGAAATGCGCACACTGGCAACTGAGACAGTTTGCATGCCTTTAACCACCTCCCGTCTGACCGCTTCCCTTCGTTCGACGGACAGGAGGTGGTTAAAGGCATGCCAACTGTCTTAGTTGCCAGTGTGCATATTTCACCTCTCAAATGCCTGGTGTCATAGTTGATGCGGGTGGGCGTCTTAAAATGTCCTTTGTGCCCACTCGTACGTGCCGCCTGGCACGCACTAGTTGGAAACTATCAAGATATGAAACAGCCAACGATGGCTGGTCTGGTGTCTGTAGAGAGCGGTCTGGTGTCTGTAGAGACACCCGATCGCTCGTAATGTAGTACCTTCGTGTGCGCCCCCCTTACCTCTCGCTTAGCCCCCTATGTGATAACAATAAAGTTGTGTAAAAAAAAAAAAAGTTGAAAAATTAGTTAAAGAAAAATTACATTTACACACACACAAAAAAACCCCACAAAAATGTTTTTAAAGTCCCCCACCCCCACATACACGCCCAAAAATGCGTTTAGTGCGCCTCTGTACAAAAACAACGATTGCGCCCATTATGCCACACATGTTGAGCAATAAGTTTAGGGCCATCAATCACTGCTAACACTAAATTGATGAACGGTAAAGCTTTTAGTGTCGCCTATGGCCAATTTTGGGTGTGGTCGTTTTTTGCGATTCTGCGGGTGTTCGCAATTTTATGGTTTGACGTGTTTGGTGTCTATTTACCTGACGTGACCCCGTCTTTTATGTTTTACCAAAAGTATGGGTAACAATAAATGATTTTTAACATAACGTAGGGAAAACAGGTTTTTTAAAATCTTTGGTACTTTTTTGTTATATAGTAAAAAAAAAAAAAAAACCCAGTGGTGATTAAATACCACCAAAATAAAGCTTTATCTGTCCCCAAAATGGTATAAAATTAATTTCAGTGCAGCGTTGCATGATGGAATAAACGTCAGTCAAAGTACTGCAGCGCTGAATATCGAAAAGTGGCCTGGACAGGAAGGGGGTGTAAACACAGCGGTCATCAAGTGGTTAAAGTAACTGTTTTGGGAGACAATAAATTGGTGGGTAAAGTTTCTTTTCAATGAGCAATGTTTGTTTTCCCACTATAGCGATGGTTCGAGTCAAGCATTGGGAACTTGTGTTACCAGTTTTCGCAATACAATTCGGCCATTTAGGGCAAAGATAACATATTACAAAAAAACACTGCAGGTAAGACATAACATAATGATAACAAATAACTATTATACTTCATAAGTAATATGTACATATTTATATATCAATTACAAGAACACTGTCTGGCCAGAAAAAGTCACCACCTGGATTTAGCTAAGCAAATAGGTAAGAGTCTTCCATCGGATAATTACTGCAGTGATTAATACATTTCATCTGGCAATGAGTTATTACACTCTAACTGATGGCACGGGCATATACTAGGATGACAATGCCAGGATTCACTGGACTCATATTCTGAAAGAGTGTTTCAGGGAACATGAGACATCACTGTCACACATGGATTGTCCATCACAGAGTCCAGACCTTAACCCCATTGAGAATCTTTGGGATGTGCTGGAGAAGACGTTACACCGTGGTCTGACTCTCCCATCATCACTACAAGATCTTGGTGAAAAATGAATGCAACTCTGTAGGGGTGACATTGCATAAGCTTATCGAAATGATGCCATGGAGAATGCCGTAATCATAGCTAAAGTCGGTCCAACAAAATATTAGAGCGTGTGATTTTTTTTTTTTGCCCAGGCAGTGTATTTTGGGGTGATCAGAGCACTTTGATGCATACACTGACCATATATTTTTTTTTAGCTTTAGATAGAGAAGGGAATGTTTTTTTCCCCCCCTTCTATTGTCCCATTGAGATTTCCTTCACTTCAGAGAAAATCTCTTCACAGTGAGGTATATTTCCTCTTAGACAGTTGGAACAGGTGTCAGCTCCTGTTTCTGTGACAACTATTACGTTTGGGTCTTCCTATCACCTTCTGTACCAAAATCAGTGGTCACTGGGGCAAATAGAGTCAGTGAATCTTCCCCACAATATGTACTTTAAGCTGGGATAAGCAGATATTGTCTAAATACCAGAGGCATTTGTATTCTTTGAAGGGTTAGTTCACCTTTTCACAAAAGGCTGTATAGCAACATAATGCTTGCAATGGGGAGCGGTCATTGGTCAGTGCACCAAGTGACTGTGCTGATCAGTGAGATAGAGAATTCACACTGGTCAGCCTGGTCACTGCGCTGACCAATGACCACTCCCCATTGCAAGCAGTATGTTGCTATACAGCCCCTAGGGCTGTTTAAAAGAGAACTATGGGGTAAGTGTTTTTCCCCATATTTCAGTTTAGTGTACTAACCTCCTCCTGTGACCCAAAGCTCAGTATATAGCAAGAAATAGCTCGCTATATACTGAGCGCCGCAGCCAGGAAGGATACCGACAATACTGTCGTGATCCACCCAGCAGGCTGAATGACAGCTGGCTCTGCCTATCTAGAGGCAGAGCCAGCTGTGCCCGCTCCCTCCCCCGTTCGTTCCGACACTCAGTGCTGGAGGAGAGGGGAGGGAGGAATCCCTGCAGGGAGCAGTGACTGACAGCCACCGCTCACTGCAGGGAGACGATCAGGATGTGGGACAATTTTCTGGACCGGCATGGGCCTCAGGTTATGGTCATAATTGGTGATGAGTGTAGCCGTTTTTTTTCTTTGGGGGGAGGGGGAGGGCGCGATTTGATGAAGTTGTTGCAAATTATTTCACCTTTTTATTTTTTAAATGTCCTAGCTAACAGTTTGAATCCAATTAGTAATTGTAAAATATACCCTTGTGTGATATTCTAATTCAAATCTTTGATTTATATTTAAAAAGCCTTCCTGGACTTTTAAAAATGTATAAGTCTTGGGGACTTTTTTTTAACACATCATTAGCAAAACATATGAATATGTAAAGTGATAGTTGATAAAACAATATTTCAGTTTTCTGGTTTTAAAAGCTCAGCTGCTATTAATTTTGAAAAATGTCTGGGACGTAAAAAGGGTATTTCAGTCATGTGGTTGTGAGGATGATCCATTTAGTTACACAAGACTGCCACCTAGTGGTCACTTAGTAAAATGGTAGAAAAGGTAGTGGCAGGGAGTCACGTTACACATCTGATTGCACTGTATCTCTCCTAGAAATACGATTACAATACACATATCCAGAATCCAACATAGCTACAATACAGCTTCTACATGAAGAAAGATTATAAAATAATTTAAAAGCATCAAAAATAGTAACAGGTATGGTGGAAATTTGAATTGCATGATGAGAACCCAAATCATGTTTTCTAAAACATGGGACTAAACCAGATGTGTGTGTTATAAAGTAGCCACCGCTCCAAACTTGCCCCCATGATGGACTCCATTCTCAAAACAAATGAGGCAACTAAACGTGAGATTGTAGTCCATCACAGGAGTGAGCTTGGAGCGGTGACTACTTTACAACACACACAGGGGCCATTGGGAACACAAGTAGCCACCCTCCAGAAGGAAGGACAGTGTCAGCACCAATTCAGAGATGATTTGAGGATTTACAGCTGAGTGATACACAAGCTACATCTTTGCTAATAGTTAAGGTACTTGAACGCATTTTTAAGGTTTAACTTCTGAGTTTAGTGTCACATTAAGGTGTGCAGCTTTTTTCAGATTTACTTAAAGGAGAACTATGAGGTAAGTGTTTTTCACGGGAGGACATGAACTAGCGTCCTCCCTTGACCCAAAGCTCAGTATATCGCAAGCTACAGCTCGTAGTATACTGAGACCGCCGCAGCCGGGACCGATCCTGACATTACTGTTGAGATCCACCCAGCTGCATGATTGACAGCTGGCTCTGCCTATCTAGAGCTACGAGGTTGAGTGAAAATCACTCACCTCATAGTTCTCCTTGAAGGGAGTTGTAAAGTCCCAGCATACACTATCCTGTTATAACATCAGCATTGTAATAGGAACACATACTGCATTTGTTTTTGATAATGCAATCAAAGAATACTTGTAAAAATCCCTTTTATGTAGTGAGTGCTGCCTTCTGTCTGCCCATCACTTTCATCAACTTCCTGTCTGCCCATTACTTTGATCAACTTCCTGGATTCCCATTGTGCTTTGCATCTCTTTCCCTGCTGCTTCATGTGCTACAATCTCACTTTTTAAAGAATACATATCCCATCATGCGTTCCTTCCAGCAAAGAATGATGATGTTACATTGTTCAGACATTGAGTTGTAGTGCATCCTATGGACATCTTTAATAAGTAAGTTTACTTCTAGTCCAGTATGGTTATTAGGAGTGGGATAGAACTTACGGGAATTCAATATAGAAATACAGATTTATATTTCGTAGTTGACTGTACATACACTTTACACTGCAAACACAACCACTGTGCATGCGTTTACCAGCTTTATAAAATGCTTTCAGTGAATACTCTATGACTTACAGATGCACTTGTTTTCAGATATCTGTGTACACTGGGTTATCTCCAAACAACCGCGCGTACGAAGTTTGTGCAGTAGTTCACAACGTGGTACTCCCATCCACTGGATATTTTGGAGTCTCCGCAGCTACATCAGCACTTGCTGGTATTTTATGGGCAACAAAATGTTTCATTTTAAAAAATCAAAAAGATTTGTAGTATTGTGTTACAGTGTATGATAATTCACATAATTGTATACAAATGATATATTCATCACACACACACTTATTATTAGGGATGCACAGATACTTTTCGAGTACCAGTGCAGATACTTGGCATTTTCATGAGAACTACCAGGGTTGCAGCGGTTGCAGTGGGGACCTGGCTCTGGCACTCCACCACTGTCCTGAAATCATTAGTCTGTATTGTTTTAGAAAAACTGTCACATGACAATAAACAAAAATGTATCAGTACTCGTACTTGTAAGTACTCGGCAAGTACCAGTACTCGTACTTGTAAGTACTCGGCAAGTACCAGTACTCGTACTCGCAAATCTGGTATCTGTGCATCCCTTTATTTATATTTATAAAAACAAAATCGTACATTAAAACAGAGATGTACAAATTCCAGGAGCTCCGTGTGCTCCTTACAAATGACAGCTGCCTCCTAATTTTTGAATTTGTCTCTAGTGTAGTCTTGGAGCTCAAAAGTATCGGTACATGTACTCGTACTTGTACCGAGTACTGTACTTGGTATCTGTGCAACCCTACTTATTATACATGAACAAAATGTTGTTTAAAGGGGTTCTGTCAATTCATGAACGTCAAACCACTTGCAGAACTCTTGGTGTGCAATGTAGAATGGATCATGGGGCTTTTCTAGGCCACTCACCTGTTCAGGAGAGTATTAGAAAGCCTTGAACACTCTGTTTCCTAATGTAGTTTAACAATAGTCTGTATGCCTTATACCTATCTAATGGTGATATGATACAGATCCCAGATCATGGTTGGCTGTCGTGTACTTCAGTCGCTTAGGAAAAATGAATGATTTTTACAGAGAACACATTGAACTATGTGATTGTAGTAGCCATTCCCTGACTCATACAAATTCAGGGTTAGTGAATCTGAGTTACTACACTTCATCCATTATGCACCGCACAATCTGATATATTACAGTTTAAAGAGGCGATCCACCAAAATTGTCTGCTCTTGGTAGATACTGAAGATTTAAAGCAGAACTCCGGGCAAATAAAATCTTAACCCTTGCAGTGGGGCTATCCCCGCATTGCAAGGGTTAAATGTTCCTTTTGTTAAGGAGCTAAAATAATAAAGTTATACTCATCAAAACTGCGACCCTGGCTTGCTATTACACCGCTTCCTCCCGCCTCTCTCCCCCTGTGCCCCAGAAATGGTATGTCCCTCAGCATTGTTACGTCCTGCACACTGTATTGGATGTGATGACTTACAGGACCTAAGACCACTGGAGTGGAGGGCGAGTAAGGCTGAAGGGAGCAGTCAAAGTGCCAGCCAGGATTATGGTTCAGGTGAGTATAACTTTGTTATTGTAGCTCTCTAGACAAAACATGCAGTTAACCCTTGCAATGCAGGGCAGGAGCATCCCGAGGCTGAGTGTCACCCGGAGCAGATACCGGGTAACACCCCACCATGACGTCATTGCGCATGCACGTCACGTGGCGTCATTGTGACGTCATCACGCATGTGCGGCCATCTTTTTGATACCTGTCGGCGCCCATCTCGGTGATGGACGCCGGCAGAGAGAGGAGGGGACGTTCACCCGGCGGGATCAGGTATGCCGCCGGGTCCCCTTCTCCCGTGACCAAGAACGACTTTTTAGAGGGGGTGACGCTGTGTCAGTAATTTTGGTGTCACCCCTCCAATGGTCAATAGAAAAATGTCACCAGCACACCATAAGTTGAAAAAGCAAAATGTTTTATTGCCAATAGCTGTATCTCATTGGCAAGCGCTTTCAGGGCCTTGCAGGGTCCCCTTCATCAGGCTTAGAGATAACCCTTGATGCCTAGATACCTAGAGGCCCTTGATACCTAGATACCCAGGCCAAACCCTGTTATCTCTAAGCCTGATGAAGGGGACCCTGCAAGGCCTCGAAAGCGCTTGCCAATGAGATACAGCTATTGGCAATAAAATATTTAGCTTTTTCAACTTATGGTGTGCTAGTGACATTTTTCTATTGTTCATGTGTGGCGGTCCCATCCGCAGTCATTTCGAGCACCCATCTTCATCAAGTGGGAATCCCGGTAAGTAGTGCGGTATGGTTCCTGTTTCTGTTTACCCCTCCAATGGTGTCACCCGGGTGCGGGCCGTACCCCCCTTGTGACGCCACTGGTGCAGGGGTTGCCCCGGGCAAATGTTAAGATTTGATTTGACCGCAGTTCTGCTTTGTAACCTTACATGTTCTCTTGCAGACTGTACAGCTCAGATATGCATGTACTTGAGTTCCTGGATCTGCACACTTCACATATGCAATTCTCAAGTGGCCAGGAACTATGGCAGGAAAATATTCTTGTTGGAGTATCCAGCACCTAAGACATCTCATCAGGCACCATCAATAATTGAAATATCACTTCTGATTGGACTGTCATTACTGTTGTGTCTTTCACATTTCAGCATTATTTAAACTGTTGGTTTTGTTGATACATTGACAAATAACATCCAGAAGCCAAAGTTAGCCTCAGGTTATTCTAGACTTTTAACAGCATTTTTTTATTGTCCTTTTAAATGTGAAATTATTCATATTTGTATCCTTCTTTTCTGTAGATGACCATGACATCATGTCCTTCATGGTGTATAGTCTAAGTACATCATGGGAAGAGGTAAATCCTGTTACATATGAGTAGGTCTGTTTTGTGAGCTTGCGGTAGATACACTTGTAGGCAGAACAACATATCTCTGTGTATGCCCCTAGTATATTACTGTAGCTATGAATATATTAACTAATAATAAACATGTTAGGTACAGTGGCAGATCCAGAGGGTATAGCTGGTGGTATTATGCATTGCTGTATAATGTATTGCTGGGATTTGTAGTCCTCTATACAGTGGCATAACTACTAGGGTCACAGCGGTCACAGCTGCGACCGGATCCTAGCAATCCCCCACTTGGGGAGACCCGGACAGAAGGAAGGGGGTCACGGTAACCGCCGACATTGTCAGTTACCGGGCTCCCCCTTCCTTTAGTCTGGGGCTCTCCATCCTTCTCACTATGCCTGGACAGTGTGTATCTCAAAGCTCCACAGCAATCAAACACATTAATCTGCAGTGTGGATATGGAAGAATCACACAGCAAAAATTTAAAAAGTGTGTCAGTCATTTAGGAACAGAAACTAAAAACTAGCTCAGTCATGAAGGGGTTAATGACAGGAATGTGCTAAATGTTGTTTAAAAGAGTTTCCATTCCTGCACATAAAAGTGTCAGGATGTATAAAAAAAGGCACAATTGCTGTTATAGATAACTGCAACGTAATATAATATTACAATATTCTGTTGTGTAAGCAACACCTTGTTTTCTGGCAGTGCACCAGACTAGACTCTGGATCTGCCTCTGGTTAGGTATTATAAGTGTTATGTACAAAGATATTTGTTTGCAATAGAATTTCTTTTCTCTCCATACAAGTTAAAGGGAATACAAAATCAGCTTAGCAGGAACCAAGAAGCATCACAAGCTGAATGAACCTAAAAACAAGTACAAGCATTGATGTCTCCATGTCTATCTTCTTATTTAAGTTTCATAGAGAACATCATAGGCCTGCAACCTATTGAATTAGGGTGCGGACACAAAAGTATAAACACACACGCGTTTTATATATATATATTATATTACCAAAAGTATTGGGACACCCCTCTAAATCATTGGATTCAGGAGTTCCGTGAAATTTCCTTGCTACTAAATGGTCTACTACTAACGGTCATCTGTTAGTGGTATTATAACAAAGTGGAAGCAACTGTGAACAACAGCAACTCAGCCACGTAGTGGTAGGCCATGCGGGGTCAGTGCATGCTGAAGCGCACAGTGTGCAGAAGTCGCCACCTGTCTGCAGAGTCAATAGCTACAGACCTCCAAACTTCATGTAGCCTTCAGATTGGCACAACAACAGTGCGTAGAGAGCTCCATGGAATGGGTTTCCATGGCCTAGCAGCAAAGCCTTATATCACCAAGTGCATTGCAAAGCATCGGATGCAGTGGTGTAAAGCACGCCGCCACTGGACTCTAGAGAAGTGGAGACGTGTTCTCTGGAGTGATGACTCACGCTTCTCTGTCTGGCAATCCGCTGGACGTGTCTGGGTTTGGTGGTTGCCAGGAGAACGGTAAGTGTAAAGTTTGGTGGAGGGGGGATTATGGTGTGGGGTTGTTTTTCAGGGGTTGGGCTTGACCCCTTAGTTCCAGTGAAGGGAACTCTTAAGGCATCAGCATACCAAGACATTTTGGACAATTTCATGCTCCCAACTTTGTGGGAATAGTTTGGGGATGGCCCCCTCCTGTTCCAACATGACTGCACACCAGTGCACAAAGCAAGGAACATAAAGACATGAATGAGCAAGATTGGAGTGGAGGAACTTGACTGGCCTGCACAGAGTCCTGACCTCAACCCGATGGAACATCTTAAGGATGAATTAGAGTGGAGACTGCGAGCCAGGCTTTCTCCTCCAACATCAGTACCTCACCTCAAAAATGCGCTTCTCTCCCATCTTTTCCGGCATCTCTTCCAGCACGGGTGCAGTAATGCAGTATGCATTGGTGCAGTAAATAAGGGAGCATGACAGGTGGTCCAGCTTCCTGATTGGATGGGAAGCCACAGCCACTCTGTCTCGCAGCTTCCCAGGCACCAAGAACTGCACCTGTTTTGTGAAGAATGTAAGTGGCAGTACTGCTGTGCTCTGAATCGCTGAGCTGGTCACAAAGATCTTTGTGATCTCTCCACTGGCTCGGTGACCAAACAAAACTGTGCCAGCTGTTGTGGTTTTGGTTTTGCGCTCAGCTTGATTAGAGTTTGCCCAGGCATACCCAGCACACTCTGTGCGCACGCCTATGGATAACATAGATGTTACACACTAGATTGTTGCTTTCTTTCTATAATTAGTTTAATGGAGGATTCCATATGTGTTCTTTTTATTCTAGCCAGGTTCACAGATTCCAGAAGAAGAAAGGGAAAGGTTTGAGAAAGAGTTTGAAGAGTTTCAGAAAGAGCTAGAAAAGAACAAGGACGAATTCCATAAGAATTTTCCCATACCAGGTTAATACTTTTACAGTACATCTTTCACAGTTACGGGAAACTGCATTAAAACCTTTTATGACCAGAGGCCCTTGATGCCTAGATACCCAGGCCAAATTTATCAGGATCAGTATGCATTGGTTATAGATAGTTATAGTGATATTAAAGTCAAAAGGTTTTTAAGCAATTTCATATTTAAATCACTTCTCTTGCTGTTGCTTTTTCATGTTTAAAAGTTTGTTTCCTGCAGAATCAGTTGGTCCCCTGAGCACTGACCCTGATATTCTGTTTTAGGGTGACTCCTTTCCCTTGCAGAGTCCTATGGAGCCACCCTTGTGTGTGCTAGTAAACTGTATGTGTCTCCACAAACAAATAGGGACAGCAGGGCAAGCTGCTCTCTGCTCCTTCCTTCTCCAAGCTAGTGGATATACAGATGCAATGTCCCTTGTAATCTTGCACTGGACAGGAAATTTAGAGAAGCCGAGTTGAGAGTTGTTTGGCCAAAAATGTAAAGAAATACTTTGCTGGGCAATGAGCTATATATTTGTAAGATCTGGACTCATTATAAAAAAATAAATGAGACTTTAATACTACTTTAACTTGACTAAAACTTCACTACCAATTTGCCTATTTAATGCATTTTATATGTAAGGCTTTTCTTTGGTACAAGGCTGAGAAACATGTAAAAAATGTAATGTTTTTTGTTATTGTTTTTTTTAATACTATAATTGTTTCGGGCAATTACAGTAATAAATAGATGAACCGTGCCACCTTAGGCTGCAGCATTCATCCTTCAACCTGCATGTAAATAGCTGACATAGTGATGCAAACCACTCTGACTGGTTTCTGATTGCCAGTGCACACCAGAGCTGCCAGTGACAGCTGGGATTCACAGCCTCACAAGGTGTCTGCAAAGGAAGAATGTTCATTAACGAGTCCCAAGCACGATGCCCCCTTGGTGGGGACGTGCTAATGAACATCCTGTCTTTGCCAACACTTGTTAATTCTATTATACAGACTGTGGGTGGAAAGGAGTTGACAACACTTGTGTGAAAAAACCCTAAAGATTACAATAGGACACGCTGGATGCCATTTGACTCTTCAAACATCATAATGAAACTGTAGTATTGAACGCTTGCATGATATTGGAGCAGATCTCTCTAATATTTCTGAATGAGCAACCAGATTGTTGACACTGAATTCAGGGTCGGATTTACTCTCTCTGCTGCCCCAAGGCCAGGTTCCTAAAAGCGCCCCCCTACCTGCCAACCCCCCCTCCCCCTCATGGAGAATGGGAGACCTGCAGGCTGCATACAATGTGGCTTCCTTGCTGTACATTTAGCTCTGCTTGCCAAAAGCAGTGCTAAATGTAGAAAACAACTACCCGCCCGGGCATCGGGAGATATCAGTTCCACACCCCTGCTGCCCCTCTACGCCCTGCTGCCCCGAAGCCGGGCCTTGGTTGGCCTTGTGGGAAATCCGGCCCTGACTGCATTAAATTGCAAAATGGCTTGTGCAACATTTATATATGCAATATTACATTTTTATCTTTTGAAAGTGGAGTTTTTTTTTCCTGTGCTTCTCAGCTTCTTCTAGTGACCATTATGTATTATTACAACAACAAAATTCATGCAAACTGGGAAAGCTCCATCTAGGGACCATACTGTATTATTACAACACTACATTTGAACTGGGAAAATACATCAAGAAAATTTTTGGCATTATTCGCCCATTGACTGATATTCGCAGGGTGAATACAAATAGACCCCATGGTGTGCAGCTACACTTTCTTCAGCAATATATTTAAGGAGGAAATAGAGATTTCTTCTCCTGTAATCTTGAAATTTCCAAGGAGACACCTAAACCACTCCTATAAAAATCCGTTATTCTACTCAAGACTAAAAAAGTGGATTTGAAGTCAATTGTCTGAATATGTTGTCTTCTGTACTTAATCAGATGAGAATGCATTTGAATCAGACAGTCAGCGGGAGTTGGATATGATTCTTCATGGACAGGCCAGGCTGATGGAGGAGCTGAGAGTGTTGAAGACCAGACTGAACATGACACTTGAGGAGCAGTTTAGACACAGAAGCATTTTAATAAACTCCAAAGCCAATGAGACTACTACTGTGAGCACTGAACACGTGAGTATCTGTAATTTTTACAGTGAGCTGATGTTAGAGAACATGGCTCTGTATGAGTCACTGCTCCCACTGCAGACTTTTATTGAAAAGCAAAGTATTTTATGAACAATTCCATTTCTGAGAATAAATAAACCTAGAAAGAAACCATGAGTAGTATGCTTAGTAATATGTACGAACACTAGCCAAGTAAGTGAAAACTATTTGCAGCTTACAAGGTCTCCCTTCTACTTACTTCATTCATTCATTACTTAGACCGCTGTTGTCTTAAACCGCTTATCATTTCGAGGATTAAAAGCTTAAAGCTTTTTTGCGGTTTCCTGTTTTCATTTTGCAACAATGATAAAATGTTTATCAAATGTTCTTGTTGTTCTGGACCTGACCAGGGTAAATACAGTAACTTGTTATTTCACTAAAATTAAAAACAATTCAGCCAGTCACAACACTGCAACATGAAAGCATGCAAAGGAATATGGCCAAAATGTGCAGAATATATGGCCAAAAGTTTGTGGACACCTGACCATCACATTTCACTTTATGCTAAAGGTACTGTATGTGGACACCCCTCCAAATTGAGATGTTTCCAGTGAAGGGTACTGTTAATGCTACAGCAAACAATTGACTGCCAACACTGTGGCAAGAGTTTGTGGAAGGTCCTTTTGTGTTCCATCATGACTGTGCCCTGTGCACAAAGGGAGGTCTATAAACACATGGTTTGATGAGCTTGGTGTGGAGGTAATCATCTGACCTACACAGAGCCCTGACTTCAACCCTATTGAACACCTATGTGATGAACGGGAAAACTCATCCAACATCTTGTCCAACATGAATACCTGGCCTCACCAATGCTCGTTTGGCTGAATGGGCACATATTTTCTTAGACATGCTTAAAATCTTGTGCAAAGCCTTCCCAGAAGAGTAGAGGCTGTGATAGCAGAAAAAGGAGCCAACTCCATATTAATGCCCATGGTTTTAGAAAGGGATGTCCAACAAGCTCATATAGGGGTGATGGTCAGATGTCCACAAACGTATGGTCATATAGTGTATATTACTGTATAACTTTTTGTAGCTAATGTATACAACTGTCAGAGCTGGCATAAACTTTTTTGGGGCCTTAACGTGATCTTAAAGCTTTCATTTTTCTCAATTTCTGCTGCTGAGGTGAAGACTTACAATGAATGCTGCTCCTTGATGTATTTAGTCGGTCCCTGAATTTGGCTGGTCCCTGAATTTAGCTAGTCCCTCCAGCGCTGGCCCCACTTTCTGATTTCAGGGTAGCTGCTTTTTGCAAGATCCCATGCACCCACCCCTACATTTGCACTCCTGGCCAAGAGACTAGAGCCACGCTGTGTATGTCAACGCAAACACACAGCTCAAAAGCCTTCTCCTCCCACCTCCAAGCTAATAACTGGACAGCTGCTGGAGACTGTGCTGTGTCTTGTGACCTGGTATTCAGTGTGTGTGCTACCCAACAGGAATTTGGGGGAAGCTGCATTAAGGGATCAGGAGCCGGTACCAGTGAAGTTATTTTTTTGTAATTTAAGTGTTTGGGCACATATATGGCCTAAATAATATACAGGGGAATGTACACCTGGATGCTGTGAATGTATTGATTTTAAAAACTTGGAGCATTTAATGCTATGTTAAGCACAATTTTATAACTAAAATTACAAGTTACTCTTGTCACTGTCCTGACATTGGTATTTAAAAGTAAACCTGTACTGAGGATTTATAAAGGTGCCCTGCTGACCTCCCCAGTGAATATTAGTTCCCTGGCTGTTATAATAATCAAGTAGCTTCAGTACACTGAGTTAGAACAAGTACGTAGATTAAGAGCTCTGACTTTACTCTGACGTTCCTGATAAACATGTTTGCTCTCTGTATCAGTATCTCAAATTATGGGATCCAGAGAAAGCAAGGCAACTACCATTTTCAGAAGGAAGGCAGAAATGCCATTTACCATATTATACTCAGGACAATTTTTCTTTAATGTGAATTTGCAGGGCATTTATGCCAGGCAAGTACTGTAATGCTATTTGTTTTACATTGGACATATTTCCAACGTGACCGCAGAGACTGAGCAGATGCAAAGGATGGTATGCTACTCTATACAAAAACGACAAATGCATATTATGGAGTCTGTTTATATTATCTGTATAGAGAAAAAATACAATAAAATAAAAAAGGAATCTAATTGTATGCAATATGATTTATAAAACTATTATCTTCCACAGTTGCACAGTAGCATAGAAACAGTGATGAATGGGATGCCAGATCTTCTTACCATGACAAAAGACCTAAAGTGAGTATGATGATTTGCACTGTCGATAATGATCAGTGCAAACAATGAAGATTTAAGACATGTGCGATTCGTTCCGAATCGAAATTCGGACGAAATTTCAGAAATTCATAGATTCGGAGCATCTGAAATTCCGAAATATAACATATCCAAAATCATCCGAAAGCATCCGAATCCAAACATTTCGAATTTGGAACGAATTCCTGCGCGTGCACTGTTAACATTTAAATGGATAAAAACAAATTAAGAGAAGGATTTTAATGTCCCTTTAATAGTAAAGACTAGAGCACAGCAACCAGAAATGACAAATGTGCCAATTCTTCTACTCCACCTCAAGTTGAATTTTCGGGAATTCGTCCGAATTCCGAATCAGATCCGAATACGATTCCCGAAACGAAACACATATAGGATTTGAATTCCAAAAACGAAATAAACAAAATCCGAAACTAAACGAAACAAATTTTTAGCTGCTGCACATGTCTAGAAGACTTCATTCTACCTTTGTTTTAATGCAGTCATCATGTAATGCACCTATATGACCGCACTCTCACATGCATGCCTTTATCTGTGAATGGAGACCACATAGCTGGAACCTTTTATAGGGACAGGTTGAGACACACCTACTCCTGGGACCCACTATCCCACCTTCTACCCTCAAGAAAATCAATAAAAAGCAGCCCGATGCTTTATTTCCTTTCTATTGTTAGTAGTATTACTATGTTACATTGTATAGTGAGTTTGAAGCCATTATAATTGTCCCAGAGCAATATATGGTGTCTAGTAGACTGCAAATGTAAATATTGTGTTGATGCTTCGCCAAACCATGCTTGCTTTGTTTTATGTGGTATGTTAGGCATTGGATGCTATGTTGTTTTGGTTTACATGTTTGCCACTAAACAGTATGTGTTGCTGCATTGGAACGTTATGCAATTATTCTATTCCATTTTCTTTCAAAATCACTTACTAGATATTTGGTGCTGTGCTCTTGTTTCTATATGCCTATGTAATTTCTGACACTCCGCCACCACAACTTTAGGACTACATGACTCGTCTTGCTTGTTATATTGTATCATTCTAGCCCAATGGCAAGCCCCTCTTAAAATAGCAGCAGTGGCAATTATTCTATATATTTGTTCTCTTTCATGAGCTCATATATTTGTCTACAGTCATAAATTATTCTTGTTATAATACCAATATTATGGTGACATGATGTTCATATTATAAACTGTCAAATTAATGTACAGGCCAGTAACTCACCCTTTGGCTTTGTCTTAGCACAGGCTGGGCAGAATTGTTTTCTGTTTTCATTCATGTGGGCATTATTCAACCCATAGGCCATAGTGCCACTGACTTGTGTGCAGCCACATCTATATCATATTTATTTGCGCATTGCGATTTGTTTTGCTAGTGAATCTGCATATTAGAGCTTGGGGGAAGGAGTGCAAAGATAATGACTTTGGAAAGCAGGACAGTTATTAAAGTCTATTTATATTTTTACTTCTGCTTTCCCAGGGCACTTCCTATTTACTAATAACCACATGAAACCGGAAATTTCTAAAACAGTAATGCTGAGAAATACAGATGTTACTGGTACATACAGTAGTTGTGTCATGCTGTGACCTCTGCTCTTCTCGTTATATAAATCCAAAATATGGAGGCATTAATGGGTCTTGCAGCAGAGATGAGATAAAGCAACAGCATTCTATTGAAGGAAATTACATGAATATATATATATATGTATTTTATTTTTTTCTATAGATACATCTATATTTTATAAATAATATACAACAATATAGTCTTTATTGGTGCTATATAACTCTATATATCTTGTAATATATGAGCAATCTCAGTCTTCTGCATCATGTTGATAGTTCCAGACATCCTCTAGTAACAATATTGCAGCCTTTGACAGTATTTTGCTTTTTTTATTTATTTTCAGCCGTTTGTCTTTGCAGCAAAACAAGGAAATCTACCCAGTAGTATATAGTGTGCTTTTACAAAACAATAATGCTGCATATACAAACTACTTTTAGTAGTATTGTTTTTTAGTATTTAAACTACTTATTGTAACTACATTTACAGAAACTAAGAAAGAGTGCTACAAATATGCAGGCACACTATCTATCCTTTCCTGGAAAATTCAATAGTTTCTGTGCAAATAGAAGCACACTAAAGTCACTTAGTTTCCTTTATAGCTGGTCCATTATCTCCTTATCAAACAGGACTTCAAGCATTTAGGTGAACACAGGAAAACTGGTTCTTGATCTTAGCAGTCTCTCTCTTGTAGTGCAGCTTTAGTGCTCTCCCATTTTCAAATCCTCCTTTCAACTTATGCTGCTGGCCTTTTATCTGGAAAATGTCAAGCCATTCCTACATGGGTGTAGCCCTTTCTACTTCCTACCTGCATAAGTTTCAATGACGGAAGCATATCTGCCTGCAAACTTTAGATGGTAGCACAGTAATTTAAATGCCGTGGGTAAATATGTCAAAAGGTATTTTGAGTATTGTGGTGGATTTTTATTGCCACCGCTACAATAAAGCTTGGGTTCATTGTTTGACAATAGCTTCTCTAACACAATAGAAACCGTTACAAATGTGTACTTTCTTGGCAGCTGGTTTACTGTACACCAATGTTATTTTATTTTCCTATTGTTTTACAGAAAACACAATAAGTCTTATGTAAACACTTCCTTGATCTAACATGAGCATGTATGTAAGATGCAGTTGTCTCTTCATATGAGAAGTACATAAAATGATGGTATATTTCTCTAATGATGGCAGAGACAACAAAAGCACATTTATCAGCAGTGTGGGGAAGGGTTAGAATATCTGTCAGGTCGGTATTGTTCCCGCCTCTTACTCACTCTTTGCAAAACTGGCAAAAAATGTATGGGCTGGAGTTGGGCTTTATGCAACAAATTCTACCCAAGCATATGTATTATTTTACTTAACTCATTTATATAGAGCCAACACAACTCAATGCTTTACTGAGTACATAGAATCATCAACATCAGTGCCTGCTTGGAACTTCTAGTTTAATGTCCTGAACACATGATATAAAAACAAATACACTCGCAAAATATCAATGCAAACAATGGAAATCATATAAACTACATGCAAACAGTTCTTCTGAGGCCAGCAACCCAAGCACTGCAACACAGCAATAATGAGTGTTTACCCACATTACGGTATATATAAAGTGACATTTCATGTCTGTACATTGTTCTTAGAAATCTGGAGAATGATGAGCTATACTATAAATCATATGTGAGGTGCGGTCTTGTCTTTCATTGAGTATTCCTTTTCATAGAAGTGAATTTCACAAGGTTGCCACGAAGGTCAAAGATCTGCCTTCATCGAAAGAAGCAGCAAGTCCTTCCTCTAATCCAACCTCTGCCAAAGAAGTTAAGGAAGATTTCATTAAAATTAAGAAAAGCCTGGAGGGCCTGGTCAAAAGTTCGGTGAGATGATAGTTGTTCTGAAACCAAAATTAATGTTTGTTTTAAAATGTGATTCTGGTGAAATAAAAGGGGGCAGCTAGAGCAAGAACAGATCAATTCCATGGCCTGGAGTTCTGTCTGTCTTTCATTAGAAGTCATATGTGAAATCCTTGGTGTCTGTCATTCATTTACAGTTTTCATGGTATATGAGTCCATAGTGTCGAAGCACTACACACTGACTTATTTACATGTACAGTTAGATGCCTGTTCGCTTATGAAATGTCTACATCAATTTAATGTAAACATACCCTTTATGTGAAATGATTAAACAGGAACAGACACAAACAAAACACTCACTACTCTTGCATTAGATAGGATTAAAATGATTTTGATTATTTATATGGTGAGATCGAGTAGAGATCAAGGTAATACATCTGACTCAATCACAGGACAGTTACATTTTAAGGCAAACAGGTCCTCCTTTGTCTGAGGAATGTGGCAACCAAATATACTGTATATCTAAATGGCAAAAAGTGGAAATCCAAACAATGTTCTGGTGCTTTTTCTTTCTCTTCCCCTAAACAGACACTGTAGTAGCATAATACTGCGGCCTTCCTCTACTTTCCTTGTGCCATCCAATTGTGCCATTGGAACCACTATAAAAACGTGGTATTTCCAGGTCAGGTTGAAGAGTATACACTGCCCACTGCCTACCACCTCCTGTTTGGTGCTTGAGCAGCAAATTGCCAGACCCAAGTTCTGTAACATAACGTCTTGTATTGCCCTTTACAAACTGTGACTTTTAAAAAGTCAGTATTTATAGAAGAAATTCAGGTTGCAGTACTGGATTGGGGTATCGGGCAGGAACATAGGAGCAGGTATCTTATGGTGCCCACTTCAGAGTCTCATTGTGTCTTTATTTTGTCTTTTATTGTCTTTATTTTGTGTCAGTAAAAAGTCCTTTTAAGCAGCAGTCTGCATAACCTTTAAATTCTTTCTGCTGTTCAGTCAATCCACCTTACTATTTTTGCTTCACTCCTAATTTGGGTTACCTTGTTCTCCTATTCTAATATTTGCTTCTTCTTCTTCTTCTTATTATTATTATTTTCTGTACTCTAATCAGTGTTATTTATTACTTTTCACCAGGAACAGACTTCACGTTGTCCTCCAAGAACAACTCAAACCTCCTGTTTGTCCAGTGGAATTTTCCTGACATTTCTGCTTTTGCAAAGTATTTGTACAGTGGCTTATATTTTATTGAGGTGAGTAGTTTCTATCCTTTCATGTATTTCTCAAAAGAAGTGCACGTTAACATGTGATTGCATTGGCAAAGATTTGATGTTTGCTATCTCTGTCCCCACTGGGAGATTTTCCTTCGCTTCCTGTCCTGATGACCATTGCAACCAAGGACAGAAAGTGGTGGGAAAGCTAAAAGGTTTCCACTGTTACCGGAACAGGAGGAGGCAGAAAATCTTTCAATGGAGACACTTGTTCTAGTGATTGCTGTCTAAGAAGGAATTTCAGCTAATTTTGGTAAGATTTCCTCCTACTTCTAGTAGTGTTTTTAAGACAGGAAATTAATCTCCCCAATAGGAACTCAGAGACCGAAAATCTGACAAACTTATACATGCTATCCAAAACTAGAAAATACAATTTTGGTTGGAGTTACATGTTAAAGGGGTACTAATTGCTTACATTTTTTTACCTTCATCACGTTTTTATAAACCAGTTGAGCAGTGGAAAATAAATGCTTTAATTAATAACTGTTTAGAAACACTGACATGTTTCTTTACCACTACAGCCTCTAGGTTCCTGTGCCCTGCTTAGCTGTGCTTCTGGTCAGGGTGTGCACACTGAACACAGTTGCCCTGTAATCCCTTCTTGGGACTACATGTCACATAATTCCACTGCCCCTGCACATGTGTGCCCCATTTATTCTTCTCAGTCTGAGTTCCCTCTCCTTGGGAACACATTTCCAATAATGGGACCACAGCTACTGCACATGTGTGCCCTTTATATTTCACCCTGGCTGCCAGTGCAGGAGCATTAACATAAGGGTGTTCAGCCCTGTCATAGATTCTGATTGGTTGGTAGGTGGGACAGAGCTTCTAAGATAGGCAGAAGGACAGATTCAGACGCCTGGCAATAGGCGTGGTGACTTGTGGTAGCTGAATCTGTACTACTGCATACACTTCGTACTCCTATGCTGGCCAACAAGAAGTGATGTTTCTTGGCAACATTTTGGAATTGATGGGGCAGATACCACTACAGTTAGGGCTCAGGCAACACAGAAAATGCAACAACAAAAAAATGTGCACCATGGGGCGATTTGTACAACATTACTCTAATACAGATGTCACCAGCACCAAAATTCCATGTTAGTGCAAATCCATTTTATTGAAAGTTGTCATTCAGATGACCAGCGCTTTCAGGGCCACACAATCATAATTTCTGAACCTGATGAAGGGGACCCTGTGTGGCCCCGAAAGCGCTTGTCGTTTGAATGACAACTATCGATGGTGCTGGTGACATCTGTATTGGAGTTCTGTTGTGAGCGGCGCCATCCGCAGTCATTACGATCACCCATTACTTTTGGGATATCCGGTAAGGAGTGCGACAAGTTATATGGATATATTTTTAAAACATTTTCCATGGTAAGTTAAATTAGCTTAGGTGTTAGAAAAATGACCTTACCATTTAAAGTGTGTTTTTCAATTGCCTGACACATTGGAGAGGTGAGAGGATGTGATGAAAACCTCCTACGCATGATACTTTCTAAATGTGTTTAATTACAGCATCACTTCCAGCATGCATAAATTCAACACAGATGGAAAGGGACACATACTTGTGTCACTGACATTTCCAGTATGGGTTTCATGCTTTAGGTAAGGCCATGGATATTTGAAAAGCTTATTTAACCCAGCAGGTTTATCAAGAAGCATATTGTTACCCAAAGTTGAGAAAGTGCATCTATTCTCCACGACCTGACCTTCACACTTACTTGTTGGACTGTCCACTTTAAAACCATAATAATTAATATGGAGTTACCCCCTTCCTTTGGAGCCTTAACAGCCTCCACTCTTTCCAGAAGATTTTGGAGAGTGTATATTGGAGTTTGCACTCATTTAGGCAAGGGACCATTTAAGAACTCAGGTACTGTTGTTGGATGAGATGACCTGGCTTGCAATTGGCATTTTAGTTCATCCCAAAGGTGTTCTATAGGGTTGAGGTCAGGGCTCTCTATAGGTCTTTTGAGGTCCTCCAATCCAAACTTGTCACAATATATCTTTGTGTACCTGGATTTGTTCACAGTGAAAAAGTTATGCAGTAACAGAAAAGGACCTTCCCTAAACTGGTGCCACAAAGTTGGAAGAGCACAATTGTCTAAAATGTCTTTGTATACCGTAACATTAAAGTGTATGCATAGTCAAAACTTATTTTTTTAGTTTTGGATAGGACTAGGAAGGAAGGTTTTTTTTTATTATTATTATTGCTGTCTGTGTATTGGCTGAGGTGATTCACCCTCTCTATTTGTTCTAGAGAACATTGTTACTGTGTGATGGGAAAGCCCATATTTTACAGTTGTCAACAGAACAAAAGGTAAGGGTTAATCTGCCAATGGGGACACTTGTGGTGGTGACACATGTCCCCTCACTTTGAGTAGATTTACTTTCATTTCTTGTTACATCTCAGGATGTGAAAGAAAATTTCACCAATGAGACAGAGACAGAAAAAAATAAACCCACTAAAACAAAAATAAAAACATTTTGGCTAGTACCTTTCACTGGAAACACCCAAGCTTCATTATTTAGAGGGAAGGCCTATTTTTTCACCGTATAGTATATATATATATACATATTATCGACTACATTATACTGTGTAAAACGTAGAAATTGGTGTTTACAGTTTCAAACTCTATCAAGCACTACTTTATGCAGTACAGATCCAGTGCATACTGAAAAAAATCGAATGAGGAACAAAGGATTTTTTCAGTGTAATGCACATTTTATGCTTTGAAAATGCAAGGACAACGCTGAAGACAAACAAAACTCCTATGAGGTTTTGTATTTCCAGCAGTTTCACTCTTAAATTGGCAATAAGAGTTTTGTACAACCCCTCCATGTGTCAGTTCTGTTCATAGACTTGTCCTGTGCTGGGTTTAAAATGCAGCTTTTTATATTTTTTTTCCCCTCTGCTGAAAATAACTTTCACAATGAATTCTAAAAGAACAGACGGCAAAACAGAATGATCTCGATTTACAAATGTGTATCTTAATTATGTGATTTCACATCTCTGCCAAGCAAATGTCCCCAGTCTGGGCATTTCCATCAAATGTACATGTTATGCTGACCCCATAAAGGGTGTTTAATGGATAGAGAAACCAGTGGCTCCTTACTGTTGGCTACTGCATATTTGCATTTGGTCTGGTCAGACCTTAAGTTGGGCCTCTGCAGAAAATATGAATTCCATAGAACTGAAAATGAAAGTTACTTTGAGAAGATATAATCTAACCTTTAATGTATTATGCACTGCCTGTATACATAGAGCTTCTCCATATTGCCCATACCTAGTCTTCCTCTCTCTAATCTCAGAGGTGTTCTGGAGCCTATAGGAATCAGGGAATTCTTCACATATAAAATACAAACAGGGTGTATGCAGGGCCGGATTTACTCTCCCGGCTGCCCCAAGGCCAGGTGGTTTCGCAATGCTCCCACCTCCCTGCCTAACCCCGCCCCCCGGAGAATGGCAACCGGATGGCAGGGGCGGCAGTGTTAGTTTTATTTTATTTTTTTAACTTTTTTTTATCAATTTTTTTTATTTTTTATAATTATTTTTTATTAATTTTCTGTTTATTTTTTACTTTTTAATCACCTTTTTATTTATTTTTTTCATTTAATTATTCTTTTTATAATTTTTTTTCACTTAACTTTATTGCTATCACACAGGAGCTAGCTAACAAGCCCCTGTGTGATAGCCTTTGGAGGTGACAGGTTCTCTTTATTGACCCTGTCACTTCTAATACAGGAGTTCTAGCACAGCACTGTGTTGGAATTCCTGTGGCAGCTGAGATGGGAAGACGGCTCTCCCCTCTCACTGTATACATTGAGCGGCAGGGTTAGTTTGAACCCTGCCGCTCTGCTCCCCACATCGGCGGCCAGTGAGGAGAGACTCGGCAGCCAGGGGCAGGACGGAACCAGAGGGGAGAGAGGTAGGTGCGGGGGAGGACGGACAGGCTGCACACATTTCACAAGTAATTGCGGCGACATTGCTGCAATCACTTGTAAACGAACAAGCGGCTTCCTCACACTACATTTAGTCCTGCCTTCCCAAAGCAGGACTAAATGTAGAAAGCAACTTAACGCCCGGCGCCCGGAACTGTATGTTCCGGGCGTCGGGTGGATTCTACACCGCTGCTGCCCCTCTGCTCCCTGCCGCCCCGAGGCCGGGCCTTGTGGGGAATCCAGTCCTGGGTGTGTGTAAGCCAGGTGCAGCACTACTTTCTGCTAATGTTGCCAGGAAATAGTCAAACCACATTAGGCCAAGTAAAGTCCTAGTAAGCAAGCGAGCATCAGATAAGAGCATTGCTTCTGACAATTGTTCAGTGTCTAGGTGCAGTGACATGATTTATCTTATGGGAAGAAAAATCATTTTTTTGCATGCCCACACCAACATCATTACTGAAGATATCAAAAAGAAGTCTGGTTCTTTTTTTGTTTGTTTTGGAAAGAGTTAGATGCTGTGTCATGTTTTTGATGTCTGCATTTGAAGGATTTCTTTTCAATTCCTGTCCTGATGCGCACACACACACGTATTGAGGATATATAGAGTATGTCCTCAAATCACACAGACAGCCTTTCTCAACCAGGGTGCCTCCTGGCTTCCTCAGGGGTGCCCAAAAATGTTCACATCCTCATGCCTCCAATGAGAAGAGTGCTTCTGATGTGAAGGGGGGAGTGGCTCCTGATGTGAAAAAGGAGGACTCTAATGTAAAGAGGCGTTCCTAGTGTGAGAGGGGCTCCTAAGAAGAAGGTGGGCTTTTGATGTAAAGGGAAACTCTGATGTTAAAGGGGGACTCTGATGTGAAGTAGAATGTGGACCACGCTTCATTTTTAATATTTTCGTTTTTTACATTTTAGACTGGGGTGCTCCGAGAATTTGCATACTTTTAAAGGGTGCCATGACTAAAAAAGGTTGAGAAATGCTGCTCTAACCTTCCTTCCTTCTATTTAAAATAAATGTTAAATTGCACTCTCTGTCCCCA